ACAAAGAAATTGGCAGCATCATTTCTGATGCAATGAAAAAGGTTGGAAGAAAAGGTGTCATCACAGTAAAGGATGAAAAAACACTGAATGAGGAATTAGAATTTATTGAAGGCATGAAGTTTGATCGAGGCTGTATTTCTCCATACTTTATTAATGCATCGAAAGGTCAGAAATGTGAATTCCAGGATGCCTATGTTCTATTAAGTGAAAAGAAAATTTCTAGTGTCCAGTCAACTGTACCTGCTCTTGAAATTGCCAATGCTTACTGTAAGCCCTTGGTCATAATTGCTGAAGATGTTGATGGAGAAGCTCTAAGCACACTCATTTTGAATAGGCTAAAAGTTGGTCTCCAAGTTGTAGCAGTCAGAGCTCCAGGTTTTGGTGATAATACAAAGAACCAGCTTAAAGACATGGCTATTGCTACTGGTGGTGCAGTGTTCAGAGAAGAAGAGTTGACCCTAAATCTTGAGGACGTTCAGCCTCATGACTTAGGAAAAATTGGAGAGGTCATTGTGACCAAAGATGATACCATGCTCTTGAAAGGAAAAGGTGACAAGGCTCAAATTGAAAAACGTATTCAAGAAATTGGTGGGCAGTTAGAGATTACAACTGGTGAATATGAAAAGGAAAAACTGAATGAATGTCTGGCAAAACTTTCAGATGGAGTAGCTGTGCTGAAGGCTGGTGGAACAAGTGATGTTGAAGTAAATGAAAAGAAAGTCAGAGTTACAGATGCCCTTAATGCCACAAGAGCTGCTGTTGAAGAAGGCATTGTTCTCAGAGGGGGTTGTGCCCTGCTTCGGTGCATTCCAGCCTTGGACTCATTAACTCCAGCTAATGAAGATCAAAAAATTGGCATAGAAATTATTAAAAGAACACTCAGAATTCCTGCAATGACCATCACTAAGAATGCAGGTGTCGAAGGATCTTTGATAGTGGAGAAAACAATGCAAAGTTCCACAGAAGTTGGTTATGATACTGTGATTGGTGATTTTGTGAGTATGGTAGAAGAAGGAATCATTGATCCCACAAAGGTTGTAAGAACTCTTTCCTGGATGCTGCTGGGGGGCTTCTCTGTTAACTACAGCAGACGTTGTAGTCACAGAACTTCCTAAAGAAGAGAAGGACCCTGGAATGGGTGCAATGGGTGGCATGGGAGGTGGTATGGGAGGTGGCTTGTTCTAATTCCTAGAATAGTGCTTTACCATTAATGAACTGTGACAGGAAGCTCAAGGTGGTGTTCCTCACCAATAACTTTGGAGAAGTCAGTTGAAGAAAGTGAAGAAAAGGCTGGCTGATGTTTAAGAAAATCACTCTAACCCTTAGTTACTGGTTTCAGTTGACAAATATAATGATATGTGTCATCCATTGTCCATGCCTACAGATAATTTATTTTGCATTTTTGAATAAAAAGACATTTGTACATTCCTGATACTGGGTGCAAAAGCCATGTACCAGTGTACTGTTTTCAACTTAAATCACTGAGGCATTTTTACTACTGTTCTGCTAAAATTAGAATTTTAGTGCTTGCCATCACCAGATGCAAAGTTCAGAAGCAGCCTTTCTGTGGAGAGTAAGAATAATTGTGTATAAAGTAGAAAAATATCCAATTGTGTGACAACTTTTGTGTAATAATAATTTGTTTAGGGCAGTGCCTATGGCTCAGTGAGTAGGGCACTGGCCCCATATACCGAGGGTGGTGGGTTCAAACCCGCCCCAGCCAAACTGCAACAAAAAATAGCCAAGTGTTGTGGCAGGTGCCTGTGGTCCCAGCTACTCAGGAGGCTAAGGCAAGAGAATTGCCTAAGCCCAAGAGCTGGAGGTTGCTGTGAGCTGTGAGGCCACAGCAGTCTACTCAGGGCAACAAAGTGAGACTCGTCTCTTAAAAAAAAAAAAGGGGGGTGGTGCCTATAGCTCAAGGAGTAGGGCACCGGCCCCATATGCTGGAGGTGGTGGTTTCAAACCTAGCCCTGGCCAAAACTGAAAAAATAAAATAAAATCTTAAAAAAAAAAAAGATTTAAAAAATTGTTTAAAGTTTAAAAAAACAAAACAAAACTGGGTTGCCATCAGAAAAAAAATGAGCTTCCCTGGCAGATATGGCTGAACTGTCTTACCCCAAACCTAGACAGCTTTATGGTTTTGGGGCCAGTGTTTTTTCCCCTATAAAATCTGCCAGAACAAATGACTTAAGTTTCAGCTTACAGAAATCAAACTCCCAGGGCAATCTGTACTACAGTAATTGAAAAGGAACAAATTGAGGGGGTGGCACCTGTGGCTCAAAAAGGTAGGGTGCCGGCTCCATAAGTTGGAGTTGGTAGGTTCAAACTGAGCCCTGGCCAAAAAGTAAAAAATAAAAGGAACAAATTGAGTTGAACTATATTTTTAAAATAAGGCAATAGTCAAAACTATGTTTAATAAATTTGCCTGGGCTCGGCGCCTGTGGCTCAAGTGGCTAAGGTGCCAGCCATGTACACCCAAGGTGATGGATTCGAATCCAGCCCGGCCCACCAAACAACAATGATGGCTGCAACCAAAAAATAGCCAGACGTTGTGGCGGGCACCTGTGGTCCTGCTGGGGAGGGTGAGGCAGGAGACTCGCTTGAGCCCAGGAGTTGGAGGTTGCTGTGAGCTGTGATGCCACGGCACCTACCCAGGGAGACGGTTTGAGACAGTTTCCTGTCTCAAAAAATAAATACACACATAAATAAATAAATTTGCCTGTACTCCAGTATAAAAAACTAAAACTTTTATAATTCTCTCTTAACCATGATTGTATTCAAAGCTTCTCTAGTTTTGTTCATCTTAGTTTCAAAGAAATGATTGCTAGTATTTTCTGAATTGTCAGTGTTTCCCCGGGTAGTCAGGGAACAAAGGGAGATCTAAGACCTAATAACTAAACAAACAAGTATCATCCCATTCCCGTTGTGGGGGAAAACTCTACCAGTGCACAGTGACATTGTTTTAGCCATTCTTTGGAATGTCTGAGTCTATCCTGTACTGTTTACTTATAAAGATTTAAGTGGAAAGTTTTCCTTTTTCCACCACGAGTTTCTTTTACATGGCCTTTTTAGTCAATTGAACTTTAGGCTGGGGGACCTTTTGAGTAATTAACCCTGGAAAGCTTCTTGAATGTTTATTTGGTGGCTTTTAGAACTTACAGCCATATGTGAAGAGAATTAAAAACCTTACTTAAAATCTTACTCTGGTAGTACACAGGAGGCTTTGCTATGGCCTGCAGCCTCCTAAAAAACATTTGCTAACACTTAACCATTCACCAAGTAATTTGTTCCATTGTTATAACACACATTCCTGATCCTGGTTGATGAAGTATTCAGGGTAAAAAATTATTTTCATTCAAGTATGTTTTGCTATGTCGGTAGAAATAAATCAGATAATCAAATAATGATAATAATTGTGATAACATAAAATGCTTTTGTGAAAATTTTCTTATTTAATAATCATATTTATTGTATCTGTATTCTTTTAGAAGAACTGAGATTTAGAGAGGTTATTATAACTTAACTACCATTATACAACTGGTAATTGCCAGAATCAGAATTCAAGCTTATAATCATTTATTTTATTTATTTTTTTTAGTAGAGACAGGGTCTTGTTCTTTGCTCAGGCTGGTCTCCAACTCATGAGCTCAAACAGTCCACCTGCCTTGGCCTACCAGAGTGCTAGGATTATAGGCGTGAGCTACCTCGCCTGGCCCTGTAATCTTTTCTTTAAACCAGAGCAAATGAAAACAAAATGAATTAAAACTTCATTCTAAAGGAATAAGCAATTTTATGGCAATGCTTGTATATGTATTTCATTGTATGCAAAAAAAAATTCACTTGAATGTTTTTTTTTTCTTTTTAAGGGCAGTAGTTTGGGTTTTGTTGTTGTTTGATTCGTTTTATTGTTTGTTTTTAATAAGTAGTAGAGATGCCACTATTGCTGGGGTTAACAGTTTCCTTTAGTTCAGGTACCAGCAATGATACTAAGCAGTATGCAGTTGGTAGCCTAACAAAGAGGTAGAATAAAAGAGTAGGAAGAAAAAAGAATATTACAGAGAAAACAGAGATGATTATGTGAAGGAGACAAAAAGTTATCAGTTTTTCTCAAAACCTAGGATGATGTCTATTTTTAGGATGTTTTAGAAGAACCAAATAAAGACTCAAGGCTGTATGTGGGAAATAAAAAAGTCTTTATTAGCCATCTTTTTGTTTTTGGTTCCATGAGGTGGCTGAACTTTTCAGGAGTATTCATGATCCAGCAACTGGTCCTTTAAAAGTTACTTTTTTTTCCTTTACCCAAAGTTGTTTGGATTCTGAGTAAGATTCACTAAATGTAATAAGAGATTAATTTATAAATCAGAATGCAACTTTATTTATTCACTTTATTTATTTCCCCCGTAGAGGGAAAGGATCCAGGCTTTCCATTATTAGAAATAAATTGGAGAAATATTTCCAAATGTGGTAGTTGCTGCCTCTAAAATATAAAGAAGTACGCTAAGTACTGTGAATGGGAGGTGGTTGCAAAGTGCAAAAACTTGCCCCTTACCTTAGAGATCCACAGACTTTATACTTCTAAAAACTTCATAAGAGCATCTCTTATTCTTTAGCATGTAAATATCTTACTAGGACATCTAGAATACTTGACAACTTCCTGCTTTCCAGGTCCCATCAGCTGCGAGCTTCAATAGCGTTGGGATCTCCCTGACCCAGGAGGCTGAAATGGGAGGATCACTTGAGGCCAGGAGTCTGAGACTAGCCAGGGGCAACCTAGCCAGACCCCATCTATTAAAAAAAAATAAAATTAGGCTCCACACCTGTAGCACAGTGGTTACAGTGCCAGCCACATACACCGAGGGTGAGGGTGGCAGGTTCGAACCTGGCCTGGACCAACTAAACAAATGGAATAACAACAACAAAAAAAACAGCCAGGCATTGTGGCAGGCACCTGTAGTCCCAGCTACTTGGGAGGCTGAGGCAAGAGAATTGCTTAAGCCCTAGAGTTGGAGGTTGCTGTGAGCTGTGACACCATGGCACTCTACCCAGGGCCACATAGTGAGACTCAGTCTCAAAAATAAATAAATAAAATTAGCCAGACATGGTGTCATGTGCCTGTAGTCCCAGACACTCGGAAGACTGAGAGAGAGTGATCACTTGAGCCCAGGATTTGAGGTTACAGTGAGCCATGCTGACAACACTACAGCCACTGTACTCTGGTGACAGAGTACAGTCACTGCCCAGGTGACAGAGCAAAAGCCTGGATCCTTCTACTGTGACTAAATTTTTAAAAGGCCTTAAAGACCAACAAGCCTTGGAAAGGGCTTTCTCTCTGTCTGCATAAAACCAGACCCTACTACCTTTCCTTTTCCTTCCTATTTCAATATATTGCAGGAAAGAAGTCTAAGAATTCAACCAGACCTGGCCCAAGTCATTTTAAAGATAATACCTGTCTCTCAGGTTAATTTAATTTCCAAAGAAAATTATTTCCAAGTCAATTTGTACTCCCTCTTCCATTCATTCTGTCAAGTTTATCTATTCATCCTCTCTAGTAACCATTCATTAACCCTAAATAGAATTGCCAGTATTCCTCACCTCCCCCTTCCCTCTAAAATGAGAGTATATAAACTTCTGGACCCCCCTGGGACACTGGGTAATCACTCTGATTCTCCTCCTGTACACAGTAAATAAATTTGTAATTATTAATCTGCTTTACTATGAGTTGATGTTTCAGTGAATCTTCAGGGTAAAGTCTTCCTTCTCCCCCACAATCATAACTACTAACATTCTTACATAGTTACGTATGCAATGGCATGATGTACAGATGGGAAGGGAAGTATGGAGTCGAATGGTGGCCATAACACTTTGACAGCAGAGGGCATAATAATAACTATGTAGCTTTAGAGATGGCTGGTGAGGGAGCTAAATAATTTTTACCCCAAAATATGACCCCCTGGTATAAAGAATATTTTGAACTGAAGGTCATTCAAAGTTAAGAAACACTGCAGGAGGCCCTCCTATCTGCATAAACTGGACTGGCCTGATCAGAGAACCAAAGGGGACAATTGATTCCCCTTCCCCTTTCCCGTTATCTCAAAATATGTCAGGAATAAGGGTCTGGAATGCCAGTGGACCTAGCCCAAATCATTTCAGTCATAAATATTTGTTTCCTAAGGGCCTTTAATACAAGTCAATTTATTTCTCCCTCATCCATTCTTCGTAATAGCTGTGGTATCTTTTTTTTATTATATGCAACTGTTTATGCCATATATTCCTCAATTTCTCCCTTTCCTCCTAAAGGCCTATATGAAG